TTGTGAAATCGTGTGACAAAATTGCTAGGCTTATAATCAAGAATTTTAAAAACGTCATCCCGTTGTTAAAACTGCATCAGTGTGGGACACAAAAAACAAACTTATTTAATATAGAAGAAAGTGTAGGGTGTGATGGCAATGGTTAACCGACAGAAAGAATAAGTCATTGATGTTTTTTGTCTCGAATTAAACAGATAGAAACCAATCCGAACTTACTAAACATAAAGCAGTATTCCAGAAGCCACCCGCCCATACAGGATGCACCTGAAATATGTCACAATAATTGCAATTTATCGTTCACATTGACAGATATAAGTCAACATAAATTACCGACTTTCTTATATGTATTTCAAGTCAACATTACCAATTGGTAAGGTCACTGTAGGTAAACTACAGACTTTCTATATAAAAAAAACGAATTCCTTGTTGGAGGTAGAAACAGAATCTACATTATGTTAAGAAAGTTGGCTGATGTAGTAAGGACTATAAAAATGGCAGTTCATATATCGACATATCATGATCATTATTCAACAACTTATTTTCCGAATTGTGAGATCTCCTCAATGTGTTGTTATTTCTGAAAGAAGTATTCGGGTAGTTCGTATGACTCAGAGGAATCGTATTTGCCGAATTCATGGACAGTTTCACTCATTGCATGTAGAGAAACAAACAGCGACTCCATAGGAAGAATTTTGAACCAAATAAAAGTCAAACGGTACTAAGATACATTATATATATACATGAATTTTTTACGAAATATGTAGGTAGTAATTTTACAATAATAATTTTAGCTAATAGAATGCGTTTTTGATGATGATCAACATCAATTAAGAAGAAAATAAGTTGCGTAATTTACAAATTTCTGGAGTGTTCTAGAGGTTCCTTCCGTATGCACAGTTGAGGCTTTTCAGTTTTCGATGGTTAAGTTTGCAAGAGCAGAGTTAAACAGTTGCTTTATGAATTCGTCAACACATATCTTACTTCCTAGATAACTTTGAAGTCAGGTGAATATTAGCACAAATTATGGAGCTCATGTTACATTGGTCATTATCAGTACTACACTTACATGATATTTGTACAAGTAGTAAAAAACTGTCCCAGTTATACAGAAGACCACAGCTAAAACTAACATTGAAATAATCACTTGTCTTTTGAACCTTCTTGTCAAGGAGCATAAGACAATTGTTAGCAAATCTTCGAAAGCACAGAAGCCAATCAAAATGTAACACCATAAATCCCATTTTGAGCAACACGCCAGATAGATATTCGTGGTGCACAATAAAATCTAATCACAAACCGAAATGAAGACGTTCAAGTGAACAGTAGAAATTAGATTCGTACATTCATTTTATTCATGAATAACATTCTTGAGACATGTGTACAGCAAGTCACAAGAGGTTACATTTTTCGCTCTGAAATTCTAACTAGCTGTCAGAGAAAATAAAATTTCGAAATTTTTTCTCACTATGATTTTTATTTCGCTTCAGTGTTTTCCTAGTCCAGTACACTGGCAATGGAAAAATTAATTTTATTCACTTCTCATTCAAGGTAATACGAGGCTAAAGTCAAGTAAAATCGCATCTGAGTATTGCCCTTATTATCACACCTTAGCATGATATTCCTGAAACGTGGAAAGTAGCTGGGTTAACCCGGACAATTCAGAACCCTTTCCCGTGCTGTTGCGGTCAAAAATTCTACTATGGAACAAAGCGATTCAGTGATTCAATTAACAACAGTTCAATAACAAATTAGAGACATTTGTCATGATATACTGAACTATGTAGTAATTCCATGCACAGCAATACATGACGATATTTCTGAAGTAGCTTCATTAGAATGAAATATCTCTACTCAGTTCGATCACTTCATCATATTCGTGTATCTGTTTCCGCTTTCTAAACTTGTGAAAAAAAAGTTTTTGACTTCTGAGTGAACTTCCATCGACAACAAATGAATAGCAGTGAGTCAATTTAGATTAAAATTTTGAGGCTGTTAAGAAACTTACAATGAGTGCCATAAGGGACGATGCCACTGAGAATTTATTCCTGAATATGAAGAATAATATCATGAATAGGATGATGACTCCTCTAAAATACGAAAAGAAAAAAGACCATATTGATTCTTGAAATGGCAACAGAGCAATTCCATTATCGTTTTTATTTGTTCGGATTGAAGGTAGAATGTTGAGCTCATAGCACGTTTTACTTATTATTCCACCTCTTAATATTATTATTATTCTTGATTCATTTAAAAATATCCTTTATCAGTGGCATTATCTTAACTCACTTCAACAATATTATTATTATAATTGTTATTATAACTATTACTATTGATATTACTCTGTTTGCAATTCTTGTTATATTCTCCAATGACTAATTGTTTATCTAAGTGATGTAATCGGAGCGTGATGCAATTTATCTTAAGTTGGATCTCTCATAGTCTCTCTCTTTATCCATTTGAATATGACCTTGAAATCATTTTCACCTGTCTTTCTGCATGACTAATTCAATGTAGTCTATTAGCTTATCAGTCTTATATATCTCAATGTAATTTCCAAAGTATATATATTCGTGTATGTAGAGTTTTCAGCTAAGGATTTCTACTGAAATTTGATGAATTCATTAAAAAGAAGAGAACACGAAGTTCAGGAAAAATATCTTTTCGGCGATTTCATTTTCAAAAGCTGCACAACCGCACTTAAACACATAACTTTTGAAAATAAAATTGGCGAAAAGATATCTTTGCTGAACTTGGTGTTCTCTTCTTTCTAATGTCCATATGAATTCATTAAATCCTGTTTATTAACCTTTATTTCTTTTTTTAAAAATTCGTATCGAGAAATAAATGTTTTCATTTCTGTTCTCGTCGGAGCATTTATGTGCACTGGTAGTTCCGCTTCTTCTGTTATTATTTATGGCACGTTTTAGGTGGTGGTCACTTGAAGTGTTCAGCCTAGTGATTTCTTTGCTCTGACTCTTTGATGACTAACTTTTCATTGTCATCTTTCACTCTCTTAATTTTTAATAATTTTTTTCCAAAGTAGGAACCTAGTTGTTTGGTAGAGTGTTGCGAGGTCTCCTTTGCCTGCAGCTTGTACTGCTTCACTTGCCATAGCTTTGTAATATCTTCTTTTGTCTTTCTTGGCACTCTTCTGTACTCCTTTGTTCAGTGTATTGTATCTTACGTTCAACTTCTGTTTTTGTTGATCATTGATGCACTGGATAATCTTTTGTTTCAACATCCTTCTCTCTTCCATAAATCTATATGTGTCTTAAGTGAGCCACTGTTAAACCAGTCTCTTACTTCCGCCTAGAACTTCCACGCAGCTTTGATTCCACACCGCTTTCAGGTTGTTCTATTGCTTTTTAACGCTGGTCTCTTCACTAGTGTTGACTTGTGTCTCTAGCTGTTTCCCGATGATTTCAGTGAAGATGCCATTTGTATGCTGGTTTTTCAGTTTTTGAGTATTGAACTTGTTTTGTGGTCAATCTGCAACTACTGTCTCTTTGAAGGTTTTAAATCTGATTTGGAGTGTTCCTTGTACAAGATAGTGATCTGAGTCACCGTCGTCTCCTCTTCCTGCTTTTCCGTCTAGAAAGTTGCGTCGCCACTTCTTTGAGCGAAATTGAGATGATGTCAATTTAATTTTTGGTTCCCCCATCTGGTAACACACATGTTGCCTTGTTCATTAACTTGTGCTTGTATACCCTGCCACCAATTACTGGTTCTTTGAAGGCTCAGAAGTCAGCGAAGAGTTCTCCGTTTTCATTCACCTCTCATGGAGCTTCTCTGCCTTTGATGAGTTCTCTTCCTGTGTTGTCTGTTCCCAGTTTAGCGTTAATATTGCCCACTAGGATTTTCATGTCACCACTTGTAGTATTGTCCATTGTTGCCTGTAGTTGTCTGTATCAACTCTTCCTTCATTTTGAGGTCTGCGTTGTTTGGATGTGCATAGCATTGTATAACTGACACTTTCGTTCCGTTGGAATTGAATCTGGTGATCATTATCTTGTTTGAGATCGCCTCCCATTGCATCAGAGCATTCAGTGCTGTTGGCGACATCGTCATTAGTAAGCTTTTTCTCGCTGTATGGTTTGCATGCTTATTTCTCATTCTCCGAGTGTAGGTTTATGTTGGTTAAAGTAAATTTCAATTCGTTGAATGACATTTCACTCAATGCCATTACATCTAAAGCAAAGAATAATTCCTTAAGTTATATTCTCATCCTTCGCCACAGTTTGTTACAGTGATCGTGTCTTCCACGTAATACGTGTTTTACTGACAGATTAATAATATCTGTCGGGGATGGCTTTGTGGAATATCTCCTTAATGCTTCACAAAAGTTGATTTGATCCTAAATCCTGCAGCGGAATATCAGTTATACTTCTGCTTATCAGATTTCCAATCTGCTGTCCATTTCCCAGCTTGATAAATTCTATCTGTTTCTTGGTTTTCGTTCACAGTGACCTGTCACAACATTTTGTGGTGTACGGCTTAACTGCCACTTGAGACTGTAATAGGCCTCAGCTCACAAAAGCCACTGGTGATGGATTTTCTGCATTTATGCTAATGATCATTGTAAAGACATTCTGATGTATTCAACTGATTGTGTGTCATTCATTCATGAAGCGAATTTGATCGAAACTCAGGACAACATCATCGCATTGTTGAATAATCAATAACATCGTGATTATTTTCGGAGATTTAGATATGTTGTGACAAATTATGTAAGCAAGGGCAGTTTCACTTATAAGCAGTTTAATGCATTGGAGATGAGTATAACATTTGATTAGGCAGATACCTGTTGTTAGTTCGTGGACGTCAGAAATAGTTAAATCTGCCAATTATCTGATTTCTTATAATACGTCTTCAGCAAGAAGCAATTATTCCGCCTTTTATTTCATCATACAGGACAGCTTCATTTTTGTGTCTATGTTTTACTTAGTAAATCATGAAGAGTCAATTAACTACCTCGAGGGAAATATTTTTCTCTATTTCAGATCAGAATTTACGACTTGACGCATACGCGGATTCATACTGTCAAGTTGTGAATGATAAATGTATGTGATTACTTCATCAAAAATTATTTTACGGTTATCTTTCGACTTTAAACTATCTTATAACGATCAGTGTTCACTTCCTCCTACTACTCATATTGCTCGTCTTAGTTCGTAAACAGCTTATCAACTAATTCAGTCACTGACAATACTGAGAAGCTTTTAAAACTCTCTTTCGCAACTTCACGTCTTCATCGAATTTCGAAGAAGTGACTTGCAAATCATTATTGTAAAGGGGAGCAGGAAACCGGTGCTTCAAAGTGAGTTCAAGTGCCCCACCTATTTCGGTAAACTTGATAATCTCTCGGTGGATCCATGTGTATATTACAGACTGAGATCAGTTGAATATCAGTTGGACAGTATTGTGCCTGAGACTAAAAGGCCCAATCACTCAGTACTGGTTACTGGCAGATTTTGCAAAAAGTAAATGTACAGAGACCAGCCACACTTCATGAATAATTAGTTACACATAGAAAGAAAGTTTTATTTCACGTTGTCTTAAGGTGAACATTTAGTCCATCAGAACTTTTAGTCAATCACTTTTCAAACGTTTGTTTCTTTTAGTTCTTTTGACTGAACTTCAGACAAACATAGATCTCCACAATGCAGAAGAAACAATTAAAAGCGGTGAGTAATTTTATCAAGATATCTACATGGATGCAAGTAAATATGAGCCATAAATATATGATCAGGTCTTTATTCGACCAATAGATTATGTTGTATTTCATGCATTCTAATGAATCAGTGATGCACAATTGTGGCCCGTTTTGAGGATGACTAAGCATTCGTTTGTTTGTCATCAAGTGACAAAGATGGAATGTACCTCCTGGTCCACGGATGATAACATCTGTGGTACGAGAACAACACTGACTGATTCTGATGGTTGAAATAACACCTGTGTAGGGTGTGACACGAAACATTTTGCATCAATAAGGACGTACTCACTTTCCTGAGCAAAATTTCATTGCTCTTTAATGATGTGAAGCGCATAACTGAACACCTGGAACTCACTTGGGGGCGTACCGGAAGATTCTTTGTATGAATGGGATATTTGTTGAACCGATAGCGACTGGGAAAGGTGTGCGAGTTTTAGTGTTGTCAGCTGCTCGCTTATCTGCCCTGAGCTTCTTTTTCATATAAACATTATTGTATACCTCTTGTGTTTCAAGTACAACATAGGACCTCAACTGCACACCTTCATACCATTATCCTCTCTGCATTCTGTTCTGGCTGGCTGCACTAGTGCAGAATTAACTTCCATTTTCCGCTCACATAATCTCCAGCATGACACCACAGCTCACCTCATTCATGTTGCACTAAATGAGCTGGCGTGTGATATCAGTCAACAGTCTCCTAAACGCATAAACCATCCAACATTTCCATTGGCTTTTTTTGGGCAATTGGTTCATGTATAATCACTGATTTGACGTCAGTTTTGAAGACTCATATCGCGTTCCTTATATTGGGTGGAAAAAACTCACCTACGGATTTAAAAACAAAGAAATTTTGTCTTGCTTTCTTGACCACAGCTGATGTAACGTTTTCACCAACGTGCAGCTGAAACGACACGATAAGTATGAGAAATGACTTCCCACTCATTTCTTCTATTGGTGTTGATTGGCTGGTAAGTTTTTCTCATCACATATATCTTCTCAGCGCTCACCTGAAGACGTGTTTTCGCCAGCTGCTTCTTCTCACAAAGTGTTAGTCTTCATCTGCAAATCTTCGACTTTCTATGGCAACAAAAACATAAAGTATCGGTGTAGTTCAAACTATCTTGGGTTTACTTGCCTCACCTGAGTATGTCCATTCTTTTCCTGCCCAGGTTATTTTACCCTATCCAGTAAAGCATAACCAAGAGTATCATCGGTGACCAGCCTCACTGAGCTTCCCGTTGCGAATCTCGACATTCGCCACATTCATGTAGCTATTCAGAGCACTGCACTCCGCAGTTTCCAATGCTGTTGAAGTTCTTTACTTAGTCGGTGAAGTTGTGGTAGATATTCGATAAAAATCCGGTACTCTCTTCGATTATGAAGCGTGGCCTTGCGAATTGATCCTTTCATAATTTGATTTATCCAAATCCAGCTTGTAACTGTGAGCATGTAGCATTCACAACATCATTTATTTCCTCCAGAATGACACGAGCTGATATTTTGCTTGGACTGGACAGAAACATGATTCTCGTCGAGTAGTCGCAGAAGCAAAAACGCCCTTCCTAGATAGTTGAACAAGGCAGGCTCTCTCTCCCAACAGCTAGTTACATTCCTTCAACCAAAACATTATGAAACAGGCGCGTGAGTTTATCTGATAATATACTTCCAATAGCATTCCATCTGGTTCGGTAGCCTTCCAGCCTTCCTATAACATTAATAGATTCAAAGCATCTGAATTTTTGAAGGATTAGTGCTCACTGGGAATACTGTGCCTGCTGTTGATGGTATTTGTGTACGATTCGAAGATGTTGCCCTGTTTGACAGTCTACGTCATTTCTCCTCTTTTCTCGGCCACATCACTTCACTGTGCTACACTGGTTTCATCTGTGTTGGTTTCATCTAGGCTAACGAAGTGTTAAACTGATATAGTATTCCGAGGTCTTTCTTCCCCTAGTCATATTCTTTTTCATCTTACAGTCTGCTCAGTTTTATGTACAGAATTCTGAGTCATCACATTCCTGAGATTGTTATGAGGGTTATCTGATATTGATGTGTCCAAGTGATGAAACACATGTCATTTTGTGCATGTTATATTGATACCTGAAGTCAAAAAATTTAGTGAAGGCACAGAAGTATGTGCAGGGTCTATCGCTTCAAGTTTTTCCACTCACTCACCTCACGGAGGAAGAGTCACTTTCCCTTCTTGTTTGTTTCCATTTCCGCATTTCGATTTTGCTGTTTGATGCTGTTTACATAACTACTTGCAGTTGTCTGTAGAAATCTTCCGTCTCCTAATTATTATTATTGTTCCCTTGGGCTCCTAGTGGAACATAGGGCTTCAACTGCACGTCTCCACTTGCTTCTGTCTTCTGCTGTTCTTTTCACCTGCGTCCATGTTATTCCATACTGTTTCATCTCCTCCTCACACGATCTCCTCCATGTCACCCTTGGAAACACGACCCACTCGCCGCTTCCCTTTCGGGTTCCACTCGAGGGCTTGACGCGCGATGTCACTCAACGGCCTCCTCAGCGAGTGTCCAATCCATCTCCACTTCCTCCTGCATATTTGTTGGGCGATTGATTCCTGTTTCGTTTGTTCCCATAGCTTCTTGTTTGTGATTCTTTCTGGCCATCTAATCTTCAGTATGGAGCGAAGACAGTTGTTGATAAAGGTCTGCAACCTGTTGAAAATATTTTTGGTGACCCGCCAAGTTTCTGATCCGTAAAGCGAAATTGACTTGACGTTTGTATTGAAAATCCGAATTTTGTTGTTGATGGTGAGTGACGAAGATTTCCAGATTGGTTTCAGGTTGATGAATGTGTTTCTCGCCTTCCCGATTCTCGATTTGACATCCTCGTCCGTTCCTCCTGTGGTTGAGACAATGCTCCCCAGATAAGTGAAAGAAGTAACCTCTTTCAAATCCCTCCCGTTGATGGTGATTGGCACTGGATGTTGCTGCTGTTGTTGGTTGGTTATTTTCATAACCTCCGTCTTGTCTATGTTCACCTGGAGTCCTGTCTTTGCTGCCAGCCTCTTCGACCAGTTTGTCGGTTTTCGCTTGTAAGTCTTCGATTTTGTGTGACATCAAACATAAATCATCCACGCGCGAAATCTAGGTCTTCTAGGTTCTTCACGTCGGTCCAGGATATCCCTGTCTTCTCGTTTCCCACTGTCTGACGCATAATCCAGTCCACCACAATTAGGAATATCATTGGTGATAATAAGCACCCTTGTCTGACTCCTGTGTTTACTCCAAACGCTTCGCTGAGTTTTCCGTTGTGGATCACTTGACATGTGCCGTTGTCGTACAGTTGTTGAATAAGGTTGATGAATATTTGCGGTACGCCGTAGCAATCGAGTAGTTTCCAAATTACTTCGCGGTCAACGCTGTCGAAGGCCTTCTCAAAGTCTATGAAGTTGAGGTAGAGATTTGATTGCCATTCCATGCTTTGTTCGATGATAATGCGTAGAGTTGCAATTTGGTCAGAACATGATTTGCCTTTCCTGAATCCAGCTTGTTCTGGTCGGAGTTCTGTATCCAGCGCGTCCTTGATTCTCTCCAGGATGATGCGACTCAGGATTTTACTTGGCGTGGACAGGAGCATGATTCCTCGCTAGGTCTTGCAGAGTCCTATTTTGCCCTTCTTTGGTAGTTTCACTAGGTAACCTTTCCTCCAGTCAATAGGCACATTTCCCTCTTTCCAGATCTTTTGCAATAATGGAGTCAGCATATCTGCTGTCATTTCTGGGTCCGCTTTCAGTGCTTCCGGGGGTATTCCATCTGGTCCAGCTGCTTTTCCAGCTTTCAGAAGCTTGATTGCATTCATGAGTTCAGTTTTCGTTGGAGGATTGGTGTCAACTTGCAGTTGTGTACGTGCTGTTGTTGGTATTACTGGACGGGTTGTAGGTGGTGGTCGGTTCAAGAGTCTTTTGAAGTGGTCCGCCCATTGTTTAATCTGTCTTTCTTCTTTGGTAATTGGGTTCTCTTGGCTGTCTTTTATAGATTTCACTTGTGTTGATCTCTTCCCGGATAGAGACTTGGTTATCTGATATAGTGTCCTCAGGTCCCTTTTGCCTGCTGCCTTCTCAGCTTCAGTAGCCAGGTTGTCGTAGAATTGTCTTTTGTCCTTCCTGGCACTCTTCTTCACTTCTTTGTCCAGTGCTGTGTAAGTTGAACTCAGCGTCTCTTTCTCTTGTCCATCTTTGCATTGAATCATTTTCTCTTTCACTTTTCTCCTCTCCTCTATTAGTTTCCAAGTGTCTGTTGAGAGCCATTCCTTGTCTTGTTTCTTCTTTCTTCCTAAAACCGTTGAACACGTTTCGTTGAAAATTACCTTCAGAGAGTTCCAATGGTCTTCCACGGATGATTCCTCAGTGGTGCCACGTAGTGTTTCCTGCTTTGCTCTGACAGTTGCAGTGAAAATGTTCTGTGTGATTGTGTCCTTCAGTTTGTGAGTGTTGAACTTGCATTGTGGCCTATCCCCAGGTATGCTTGAGGCTTTCAGCTTCACCTTGAAAGTCCCTTGTACCAGATATTGGTCTGAACCCACATCTGCTCCTCTCCTCGATCTTGTGTCCAGTAGGCTCCGTCTCCACTTCCTTGAGATTGAAATGAAGTCTATCTGGTTTTTGGTGTGTCCATCTGGTGAAATCCATGTTGCCTTGTGTATATCCCTGTGTTTGAACACACTGCCACCAATCACCAAATCATTGAAGGCGCAGAAGTCTGAGAAGAGTTCACCATTTTCGTTCATTTCACCAAGGGCCTCACGATGCATTGTGAGTTCTCTTCCTGTATTGTCTCCTCCCAGTTTCGCATTCATGTCGCCCATCAGGATTTTGATATCGCTCTTTGGGACGTTGTCCATTACTGTTTGTAGTTGACTGTAGAAATCCTCCTTCTTCTCATGTTCTGAGGCGTTTGTAGGCGCGTAGCACTGAATGATTGTAACCTTTTTTCCTTTTGAGTTGAACCTGGCTGTCATTATCCTGGAGGAGATTGGTTCCCACTGCATGAGAGCTTTAGCCGCTGTTGGTGACATCATGATGGCTACTCCCTCGGTGTGCTCGTGATCGTCCTCTGGGTGACCGGAGTAGATTATTGTCTCTCCAGTTGATAGTTGGCTTCTTCCATATCCGTTCCATCTGCTCTCGCAGATTCCCGACACTTCTATTTTATATCTCCTCATTTCGGCGGCTACCTGAGCAGCCTTCCGAGCTTCGTACATTGTACGAACATTCCACGTCCCCATCCTTATTTTCGCTTTCATCGAAAGAAGGCACATCGGCTGACTGGCTTCCCGAAGGCTTTCACCAGCCCGCGTCATTTCACTTCCCCGATTCCAGCGAAAAATAAAGTCATTGTTTGTATTTTTGGAATTTTGAATATATTTGTGCGTTGAAGTTTTAGTAGCAATTTGGTTAAGTTTTGGGGGTGGAGTTGCTAGCACCACGCCCCAACCCTCCCTCTTTATCCGGGCTTGGGACCGGCTAGAATACTAGTGACCTAGTAATCTAGGCGAGGTTCCGTCTCCTAATAGTCCACGTCAATTGTGGAAAGACGGCACTGGAATCCCGTTTTTTTTTAATTGTGGATGCCTTTCGTCTGTGAGTGGATGAACTGTAATTTGAATTGAAAGTCTGGACGAGGAAAGCGGGACACTTAAGTGTTACCACCATCTGGAAAGGGACATCATTTTGCTCAGAAACTGTTAAGAGATAATGCATTATAAAGATTGGTTATGGAAAAAATAAACAGGAATTTCATGTTCAATGTTGAACACAAATGTTAAACCAAATGAGTGGAAAATGAATAAACAAAGTATTAGATGCATGTGTAGAACAACATTAAAGTTTCGAAATTGTAAGATGGATATGAATTAGTTTGCAGAACTCCTGGTTCTTTATATCGGACCTCATATATCCTAGTGACTACTTCTTCAGTAACTTTAACAGAAGCCGGCCTTTTAGTGAATAGCATATTCCCTGAAAACTACAGTGATTTGAAAAATGATACTCAAACACACAGGAATCTTGTCATATAATGGTTTCAAAGTACTCATCTAAGGCAAAACATTTCACCTTTTTTGATTTGAAGGTGAATATGCCTAGATAAAGTTGTTATAAACTAGACAGGCATAATTGTGCTGTTCAGGGTTGCTCAGGGTGCACAACATAACCAGTAAATATTGTTAACAAGACTTCTTCAACATGCAAGACCAGCAAAGAACTAGAAAGCGCTGTGTTAACTTGAAAGGAAGAGACCGCAGAATTACAAAGATGAACGTCAAACTGACAATAAAAAATATACGCGCATCATCATGTCGCCAGTCGAAAGTCTCTTAACAAATCATCTGTGTCAACTAACATTACAGCATGCACTAATTTTGTGTATTTTTCTCTTTAAACAGATATCCTGAGACTTGAGCACTTATATCAAAGTAAATGGGCGAAGGAATTTCTCGAATGTAAGTCCTGTCATCCACTCACAAGATTCTTTGATGTTCCTGGAATGAACTATTCTTTGAAAAGTGGTGGGAATTTTCTCTGAAGTTAAATATGCTGGATTGTGAATTGCAGTGTCATTTGAGATGACCAACGAATTCAATTACTGGACAATAAAAACAATAAAAACTAACATTTATTAGAGTGATCACTAGGTGTCAGTAGTGCACAATATTCTCAAAATTAGCAGTCTGCAAACTTGTATGAGGTAACTTTGAGTTGAGAAATGAATTTGCAAAGTATTTCGGTACACATCCTTTCAATTTGCATAGCATTAAATACCAAATTCAAACATAAAATATGACCAGGTCGGGCCGTCTGCATAATGAATGCCGTTGATTCACCTTCCAATATTCATTCCAGTGCAGAAAGAGTAAAGTCAGATGGATAAGTCGTCTAACGCTTCAAACAAGTTGCCATGTACTGAGGGTGAAAACAAACAGCTTGTGTGTTTTGTGTTGATTCCTCGTACTTTTAATATCTGACAAACCATCAGTCCATATTTCATGTTTTCTTATTGTTCACTTCTTAACGTGCTTCCAGTACAAGTAAATAATTTTTCAAAATAATCCAATTTTGTACAGTAATTGGTGCAGAAGATAAGAAGCTCGTGTATCATTATAACGGTAGGTTATTTCCTCCTTAAATAAGAAACAAAGTGCATGAGACAAAATCACATTTTATCTGAAGACAAAACCATCTTCTTTTTGCTTGTGGAATGATCACCAGCTGGCGACTATTTTGTGCGACAGATGCCATCGGAGATGTTGAACTTGATTTTTATCTGACAAGGCTAACAACTGAAGCCATTATCGCTCATCTATACGATTGCAATCTAGTACATTTGATGAAACAATCTCCACCATCAGTTGGTTTCTCTTTAAATGTCCTCTTCAGCATAAGCTTGTTTAATACATGTGTGATACGATGAAACAGCATGCATCACTGATAACATCCCGAATATAATTTACCATTCATTAATATTTCAAGTTCATATACACAGATTTTAATCATTGATTATGCAACTCTGTTTTACTTCAAAGAAATTTTGAATTGTTGAATAAGTCCACAGTTATTCAGTTACATTATCAAATTACAACTGGTATTCATTCGCTACCTTCCTGGGTGAAACAGTGAGATGCTCACTCCCAACGATGTTTTAAATGGTTCAGTTTAGACTGATACCATAAGAATGCCATAGGTGCTAGTAAAAAGCCTCATCTCAACCTAAAATGATTCATTGGAATTTTCGATGTGATGTGCTTCGCTTGTTGCATAATCCTTCACCTGTTGAATGGTTCCCACAAACTGCAAGATATGCAAGCGAAAAGCAACAAGTTAGCAGAAGAAGCATCATAGATAGGACTTCAGGTGAACAAAGAGAAAACAGAGGTGATGAAGATTCCTGAGCAACACCACCAACATCAACAACAACAACAGACAACAATCAGCATAAATGGGAGGAACCTGAAAGAAACAACCTCCTTTACCTACCTGCGAAGCATCGTTTCAACTACAGGCGGACGGAACTGACGAGGATATCAAAGCAAGGATCGGAAAAGCAAGATAAGCTTTCACTACTCTCATGTCTGTGTGGAGGTCAACAGCATTCAGCGTCAAAAATAAGATCCGGATTTTCAACTCCAATGTGAAGTCAGTGCTACTATACGGATCAGAGACTTGGCCAGCGCGTCATAAAGAGCATTTCCAACAAGCTACAGACCTTCATTAACAGTTGTCCTCGCTCAATACTCAAGATCAGATGGCCAGTCAGAAAAGATCAGCAAAAGAGATCTCTGGGAGTGAATCAACCAGGAACCGATTGTGAAACAAATAGGCAGGAAAAAATGGAGATGGATTGGCCATACTCTGAGGAAACCGTCAAGTGACATCACTAGACCAGCCATTGCTCGAGTGGAACCCGAAAGGGAAGCGGCGAGTTGGTCGTAAGTGCAAGGGTGACTTGGAGGAGGTCATGTGAAGAGGAGATGAAAACGTGTTGGCAGACATGGAGCCAGGTGAAGACTCTAGCAGAAAACCGAACGCAATGAAGACGCACGGCTGAAGCCCTATGTTCCTCTAGGAATTAAAGGATACAATAACAATAATAATCCTTCGCCTGTTGAATAAAATGCGACAGAGTATGCAGCACTTGGCAGTGTTTGTGAAGCAAGAGGTTAATCTGTCGCCCGTGTAGTCGAAACTCTTCCAAGATTCAGCGAGTGTGAGGTTAACAGTTGATCGCCATTCCAGCCTATTTTTGATGATGATTTACATTTGTGCAATCAGATCCGTGCATGATTTTGCTTCCTTTAGCTCAGACCGATGCCAGCGACAACATTCATCACTGATATCCACTGGTAGAGGTGTATCTTACTGTTCTATTTAGAAATGACTTTCGGGTGATTACGAATATTTAATACTGTTTATAATATCATCTCTTTATGAATGAACCTAATTTACACTTTCATACTATCAAAGTGTACAAATACACACTGTAGATTTTTGGCTATTTAAGGAATTCAATAAATACCAAATAATGCTTCCTTTCATTGTAGATGAATACAGGAAGGCATTAGCAGAAGATGATGTTTTTAAGTACAAAGTTCTTGGTATGATTGATGTTTCCTTACTAAAAGTTGTAATAACGCTTAATCTTAAATTTATTGGTTCGTCGAAATTAAGTGACCAGCTCTGTGAAGAAAACACACAACATTTTGAACTGATGTTTTGTGTCAAGTCATGATTTCAATATGCAATCATACTTACTTTTCAGCCATGTCAATCTCAATTCTCTACCAAAACATTTCTCCGTGAGGATAAATCTGATCACCGTTAGGACCTTTCTTACCAGAGTAGACCCCTCTCTTATTTGTTCTTTTTATTGATTTGTTACTAAGGTCTACTGCTACAACAAATCGCATTACAGTGATATTCATAAAATCTCCAGCTTACTTGTCTATTGACTGAGGACACAATTGTCATAGAAATCTGACAAAATTTACAATACGTTATACATGGCTTAGGTCACTTCAGTGGTTGATACTTGATATTACCCTGGAATCTGTTGGATGTCTAAAAGTGATTCATACTAACACATACCGCTGTCATCAAGTTGAAGGAATATTCCACAGCCCAAAACATCACCTGGTCCACATTGTACAAACCTTATGAATAATCAATAAACCAAGTGAATTTTATTATTCCTTCAGCTAATAAGCGATTTTACAATCGGATGAAAAGGCATATTGCGAAGAAATGGGAAAATCGAAAAAATCTCGATATTGCAGAAGGTGAAATTTTTATATGATTCCACTATTTAGAAAGGCGGTAGGCTATTTGATATTTTTTGTAGGAAAGTAAATTTTCTTCTTTCTTAATTAGGTAAACTGCACAAAGCCACAGTAACCTTTTCATTTTCACACACAATTTACCAAAGGACATCGAAACGGTGATGTTTTCTCTTACCTGTTACACCCACGAGTGTGAATTCTGACTAAAATAAGGAAGAGAACATGATGCATCACCTACTGATAGTCCTAAATTGAATAAATCATGAATTGATGGCGCTTCAGGAGAAAACGACATTCTGTAGGAGTGTTCTGTACAGTTCAGTGGTTCCTCTCACTGATTTCTTTTCGTGATCGTGTGTTTTCTGAGGCTTCTGGATTTCCGTGACTTCATCATCAGCACTGATATTCAAACTTGTTTGAGAATGATGAGAATATTTCTGCGTAAATGCAACATCCAAATAACGGAGAGTATTTCAGGGAATAATTGATAGTAAGTAAACACCATAAACGTATTCAATTCCTCATATTTTGTCATCAAAATCAGTCAAAAACTGACTGCTTGCCATCAATATGTGAGTGACAGTACACTTACTCGATGGTTTGATAGCATTTTCTAATAAAGCTGTATACTTCGTAAAAAAGTAAACTGTGTTGGTGTCACTTAAACTGACGTCAGATGAATCCATCTTCAAATAAATTGATTATGATAATGTTGTATTCATCGAATGATTGGAATTTGAATGACAGTGTGATGTTTCAATTTCAGCTCAATTTTGGACGGAGTCATCAGAAAATTTAAGAAAATACAAAAGTTGGTTTTGTTTCATTTTCAATTCATTTGATGTTTTTATTCTGATGAATGTTTCTTCATATTTTACTTAGAAATCTAATCAGTAGCAAAAGTCAGTCCCTAACATGCAGACACTCCTCAATATGTAGGCTGTCCTTGTAAATACAATTTTTATCATGCGAAACCATCAACAAGTTTATTCATTCAATGATTTTACAAATAACTGTACAAAAGTTTGATATTCTATGCAAACGATTATTGTTCCATAATGGACAAAGTCAAGTCATTACTGAAGATGGGCACATGTGCCGTATAAATGCTGCTAAAACCTAAAGAAGGCATTTTCTTTACTGATGTCAGTAAGTACTCAAAATATCATGTGGTAAGTTGGACCGGGTATTGTGACAGTCAGTAGCCATTGCTTTAATATGATTATTTCACGCTGGAGATTACACAATGGAACATTTCAAACTTTTCCATACAAATAAATTCTAGTCCCAATTGCAATAAAAAAAGAAGAATTTTAAAGAAGCAAAGAAAGCAGTGAATACAACCAAAGGTAAAATGATTGTGTAAATTTGTATTGCACACTACGTTCAGGAATAATGAGCTGTTAGTATGAAAATTCATTCGTAACTGTAATTGTAGTTAGTCGTTAAGTGCTGCAATCACTCATCATTTACACACATAATAACTAAGTTCTATTCATTATCCATTTCATAACCAGTGAAATAACTTCTCTAAAATATAAGGGAGGCCCGTTTTATCATCGAAGTTTTGGCACTACTTTCATGAGGAGTGCAGTGGGCTTTTTAAAATTAATATATTCACTTAGTTGTGAGAAGAATGATGTTGGAAATAATAAAATTATTACAAATCGTTTTCGGATTGTCAATAAATTGTGTTGACTATGATAACGAACATGACACTAAAGTTTCTTCATCAATGGTTTTAATATCATTCAACACTTTTTGTTTTCTTAGCTAACCTTAAAGTGCTGGAAACGATGGCAGTCATCGCAACTCACCGATCTAGAGGAACTCAAAGTGAGTGAACGTATTCATTAATTGGATTAGTGGACTTAAAGGTTCAGTGTAGCCATGTACAGGACTAATATGATTAACGATTGGATGAACGTTGTGATGATTGTATGTGAAACGTAGGATTGTTTAGTTGAACGTCAACACATAGACACCTGACAAACATAATTTTCTACATATATTATGCAATTCCTACTGAACTCTGTGGATGACATGAAATCAAGATCGACTTGCACTCGCTATATACTCGGAGGCATACAGAAGAGTAGACGGAGAGTCAGGCTTTTCAAAATATTGGTGTGGTAATTTTAGTGAAGATGACGTTTACTGTCGAAGTGAAAAAGTTTACGCTGTGGTAAAATTAAAGTCGATATTAGATTAGTCCAGTGAATTTAACACACATTGTTGCAGTATTCATAATTGGATGACGTTTCTGGGACACTTTATCTCTAATAATCGTATCATATGATTGTGTTATTATTATTAATTAGCTTATTTGCGAGGTGTGGGGAGGGGAATATCCACATATGGTGAGCAAACAGTTTTATTCTGACCGAAAATATTTTAGGGTTGAAAATGTATTCTTCACTAAGCACCATGGGATTCACCTTTGATTGAAAATAATGACATTTCTACAACAAGAAACTTCCAAAGTTCACGTTTACCAGAGAATAAGATCATCGTGACTAGCTTGGATTTGCAAATAATTAAAAATGTGGTTGTCAACAAGCCATCATCAAATAAAGTATGAACAAATATGAACATATTATAAAATGACACTTTGAATTGACAGTGACTCTTTCTTGAAGATTTATAATTTGAAGGTTATAGGAATATAAGGACGATAGGCCGAACAGACGATAAATTAAATTAGGACCTCACTCACTTATTGAAAATGCAATGCTCACAAATTACATGTGCATATCTCATTCCCCACTGAATGTATTTGAATGAGGTATTTCCCTTCAATATTGTCAAGTATGTATGTGTCTATGAGTTTGATAACGGGTCATTATTTCTTTCAGACTCATTGAACGATAATGAAATTACGGAAGCGTACTGGAAGGCTCGCACTGATTTTGACATCGCCATAGGTAATTTTACATAGTTATTAAATTGGATTTCATATTGTTGCAATGTAACATTGAAAATGGTACTAATGCATCATTGACAATCTATTCACTGTTTTAGACGAATTAAAAGACAGAATAAAACTATTGGAAATGACGAGGTTTGAATTTTTAAAGTGTAAGTTGAAATATTGAAATGATTTAGAACTGATTAGACCAAACCTTAGAAGATGGAATAAAATGGCTTCTGGCTGAAATGAAAGAAGATGCCAATCAGTTCTAATGAAGTAAGTTCTTATTTTGATCCTGAGAATATTCTAAACTTCTAACTAATTGCACAGTTGAATATGAACTTGTAAATGGTTTTTGCCGTTAGATGAAACCGGCCAGATGAATGCTTGAGAAAAAAGTTAAAATGAAATTCAATTCACTCGCATTTCTCGATCACTTATCAGTTAAAAAGCACATCATAACTGATCTGCTGACCGACTGGTTACATGATCACAGTTTGTCAGTTGTAGACAGTATAAGGATTATAACAATTTTTGAGAACATGGCTAATTTTGTGTGAGGGGAATTGTAACTTGAAATTAAGTAGATAAAGTTTACACTTAATCTGTATTTCAATCTTCAAGGGAAGTATTACCTGATGATTAACGTCATTGTTAGTTATACTTTGCTTCCGGTGTTATTTTGTTTCAGCTGCAGGAGAGTGAATTCGATTCCAAGGGAATTCAAACAGGATTGGTGAAGGGAACACATTATTTGAATATCTCTTTTTAGTTTTATTAAATATAACATTTTCCTTCATAAGATCTTGTTTCAGTTGAAATTTTCTATCTCTTCACTATAATGGGATATATGAGAATGAAGTAGCTAATTAGAATAAATAGTCTCACCACTTGCGCACAAATTGAGGATTATGTTTTTTGGCTGATGAGGAGAAGTGTAATTCTTTGCAAAACACTTCAAGGCATATATACGTCTAAAGAAATCCTATCACCTCACTATTTTCAAGTTATTTACTACGCACATTCCCATGAACTACAATATCAAGGTTGACTTGTTAAGATCTAGCCAAGTGGAGGTTAACAATGCGCCTGTTCGTTATCTGAACGATGTTTCATTAACCACAGTGTATAGTTTAATATCTTGACTGTAAATTCTCAGTCACAATATGCGTCATCCGAATGCAGCAAATTCGTCATCCATGTTATGGAGACATATCATGGTCTGAGGATGACGAAATTAAAAGCTTCATTCTATAAACCATGTAAATGAGTCAACATTATCTTTTCAGTGCTCTTGTTTCCGCAATATTAAAATTTGAAATTAATGGAATGTGTTCAAAATAACACTGAACATCAAAACATTATTCACATCTCTCAGATGTTTCGAATAGAACAGAGATTAACCTGAATGTAAGCGCAATATCGCTTGAAATTAAGTCACGCGAAGATAAAGGCTATCCCGGTCCAGGACAAACAAGAAGCTGGTCACCGTTTCTACGGTGCTATTAATAAAATAATCAATAATTATATATACAACAAACTTTAACGGTTTCAAGAGTACAAAGCATAACGCTTAACAGAAAGCAAGGTACCACTATCAGAATGGAATAACGTTAAAGCTAAAATTGCGAACTACCTGGAATCAGACACGACCGTTCAGGTAAGCAGTCAGTGGAAGAATGAACCCAAGTAAGGCAGGGCATGGAACAGAGAGCGGTTAAGAGATAGACAGAGCATAGGCACAAAGACAGAATTTAATTGACTACTTAACCAGGTAGGCTGATACAGATGAATACAGATCAATAAATAAGATAAACTCGACAGAATAGTACAAAGTAAGACATGGGTCAGCAAAAATAACAGTTCCCAAATTACTCTGATTGGGTCATGAGTTCAACGGTCTGACTAAACGGATCGATGTAAAACACACACACAGTTCATTAAACAAGAAGGGATAGACACGTTGGGTATGGATAAATGGGTTGCATTAACGCTAGGCTGACAGGTTGATTTGATTCAAGGATGGGAATTGAATTGATTTTACAACATACATGCACCATTTTTAGTACTGTCCACCACAATCCCCCATCAAGTAATGGTGAATTATATGTCAACTGCGTGGTAATTAACTTCGCTAAATGAAACAACAATAACAGGGTGGAAATACTTGTGAATCTTAAAACACGCGATCATGTAATGTACAGTGTATGGGTGACCAACCTAATAAAAGTGATCACATAAGAAAAATGGAAGGTGAAGTATCATGTGAAAGTAGTTATATTATTCAAGACCTACATTGATTCCAACGATAAAAATCACTCCTCTGAATTGTTTGTTAGAATCGCACCACCTACAGATTAATGTGAGATTATGAAATCAAAGTACTCTCCAGAAGTCCACCCGTAGTAAAGCGACTCTAGAAGGGCAATACCTACAATGTTACAGATTCCTTTTTGTAAGGTGAAGAGGTCAATGATACCACTCGATACATTCGGGAATTTGTGTTTAAGCAACAAGCTGAAGAAGAAATCAAGCTTTCTTGAGAAGTGTCTTAGAAACAAGGAGATTCTTCTTAAATTATGACAAACAGAAAGCTCAGAAAAATACAAAGAAATGTACTGCTCTGCAGCTGAGCTTGAATCGACTTGTGGAACTACACATTCAGTCAGTTTGTTTAAATTGGATTAATACCTTACTTATGTCACCTGTAAACTGATTTTTAAATTTATTTGTTCTAGCAGTATCAGGTCAATGAAGGGAGAAAAGAAAAATTTCATTTAAGGATTTCTGAGCACATTGCAAAATATAAATGTAAGGAATCCATGAGTTTACCAAGTGCAGTTAGCCAACTACTCTTGGGTAAGGACTTTTTGGTCAATATGACCAAATGCTTCAAAATATTGCGTGGATAGGAAAAATCAAATTTTTTTCGATTTACTGAGGTGACTGCTGTCACATGTTTACAAACACATTGAAAACAGTCATATTACTCATCAAGTAACCTGTGTTGACATAACACTGGGTTGGAATAGAGTCAGGAGTGATCAAGCGGTTACTTAGCATCAGTTCATTTAGTCTTTAACTGTAATATGAATTCTACCCAAATCCAGTGTATCAGTGATGCTGTATACGTGATCAGTGTAAACGATAATTGAACGAGGAATTTCTTTGGTGATAAGCAGTGGGTTCCATTAAAGTGGTAAGAGGAAATCAGGTTAACTGTTTAACTAAATGTTGCTACATTGAAGCTATTAATTTTGAGGTTAACGTACACATAATGGAATAGATGCAGAAAGACGTTTGTCAAAAAACTTAACACTAAGTTCCTGTTATTTGCGAAGACGCTCCGAATCGATAATTACTATGACTGATTAGCGACTTTAACTCCAAAACACCATGACTTGCAATAACTTGTATTGTTCGGCAACTAAAATCTATATTGATACAAAGTATTAAAACAAATGTTTTACAAAGAACATACTGTGCTTATGTTTGTATTCTTTCGTTATCTTCCAACTTATACACGATTGAATCATCCGCAACATCGAGTTGCCCGCCGATGGCATTCAAGGCCAGTAAACCAATGCTCATTGTTCACATTTTCTTTACATTCCTCGGCAAGAAACGGTCCATCCCTTTTTTTAATCTAGGCAATAACTTCGAACTGATTTGCCAACGCAGGAAACTAGGCCAAGCGGGACTAGGCTAGTTCACCTCTTCAGAGTGTAGGGTCTTCTTCAGTGATCTTAACTCCATTCGCCCTCGGTCGACAGCACCACCACTGGTCTCGTCCTCGGAGTGTTGGTTGCTTCATGTCACTCTGGCACAATATCCCTCCCCGGCGTATGGAATGGCGTACAATGACTGCAATACCACTCTATTCGTTCACAGTTGTAGAAGACTCGAAACGACTTCAGAAGTACTTAAAATAATATTACAAGATGATTCACACAATGCAAAAACTATAAAATTAACCAACAATTAGATGAATTGGAACATACGCTGTGACTTAGCAAAAATAAATGTACACTCAATTTATCAAATATCATGGATTCTGCCTTGACGAGCTACCCTTGAAGAATTGTAGGACTCACAGCAGTACGCCTACAACCCTTCTCAGTTTGACGCCCTTAAGTTGAAAACTCGTCGCAGATTTCATTTGATGACCTCCTTCTATCATCTTTACCGTCAACTCTGAATAGTGACATGCTCATGCCATTTTATTCTGGAATGTAGATGAATAACAAACATATGACATATATGAGCAACCAAGCCAAGATAATAACATTCAGATAGTGACTTGAAACCTGATAGGCTAACATTCGTTCAAGTCAGTTTGCCAATTACCCTTTCATACACAGTTGGCTTATCATCACTAAACTGGCCATTGACTTTCGTCCTTTCAAACGGACTGATACTAGCATAATCACGGCACAAGTCACATGGGTTCATGCACGTCCGTTTTACTGTGGATGACAACTCAAACAACGACTGACTGATACAAGTTGATGAACTTAGCGGTGCATCAGAAGCTGTTATTTTTCGACCTTTAGAAGTTTATCTAACCATAGGATTACCACCACTGCTACCTTTTATGATTGTCTCCAGTTTAGCATTGCCATCTGTTGATAAGTGGACTACACGCGGATCATTTACACTGACGGTCTCATGAGTATCCATACGTTCTGCAAGCGCATTTGACTTTAATTCTACTTCATGTTCAAGTTGTACAGAACTTTTGTTCAACTCAGTAGGAGTAGGTATTCCATTCATCTCATCATAATCAGCCAAAGAAAAATAAGCACTAAAATAACCATTGTCACAAATATCCACTTGACCACCGTTAATGTGGTTGACATCATCATGTTCAACCTCTTTAATAACAGCCGTAGATGACTTAGGTTCTTCCTCATGAATCTTTAAAGGTTTTATACCATAACTCTGACCACTAATATTTTGTAAACTTGTGAAGTCAGAACTGGACTTTGAAACTGTAAACCTTTTCTCCTGCACAAACTGTGATGTCGTCTATAACACGCTATTCAACAATGGCTTATCAGTTGCAACTACAGGCTTCTTCACCACAACATCCTCGCCACACAATTCGAAGCCAGAACTTGACGACGCTGACTTCACATTAAGCTTACCACTAAACTTGTTCACTGCTTCACAGTTTGCCTTCTC